CTCTTTAACCTTTGTCAGGAATACAGTATATTCCCAAACATTTGGAAATCTGCAAACGTAATGCCTTTATTCAAGAAAGATAATCCGAGTATTTGTTCCAATTATCGCCCTATTTCGTTGATAAGCTCACTTGGTAAAGTTTTTGAAAGGCTCATGTATAATCATATTTACAATTTTTTTAACTCAAAACCGCATCTTGTCTCAATTTCAGTCTGGATTTGTGAAACAAGATTCAACTGTATTTCAATTGATTGACATATATGATCAAATTTTATCAACTTTAGATATGGGGAAAGAAATTAAGATGGTATTTTTAGACATTAGTCGTGCTTTTGACAAAATCTGGTTGAAAGGTCTTACACATAAACTGAATTCTATTGGAATCCGAGGCAACCTTCTAAAACTTTTACAAAATTATATTGAACATAGAAACCAATCTGTTGTGATTAAAGGCTCGACTTCAAGATGCCAATTTTTAAAAGCAGGGGTTCCTCAGGGATCGGTCTTAGGACCACTATTATTTTTAATCTATATTAATGATATTACTAAAGACATTACTTCAAACATTCGTCTCTTTGCCGACGACACCTCACTTTATCTCAGTATTGACGATAAAGTGGGGTGTCGAAACACCCTTAACCATGATTTAGATTTGATTCACATGTGGTCTATCAAGTGGAAAGTAAATTTTAATCCTCATAAAACTAAATGCATGACTTTTTCCAGGAAACATGAACCGTCGCTTTTTACTCTTAATTTTAATCATATAGTTTTAAATGACTCCGATGAGCATAAACATTTAGGTGTAGTTTTTGATAAGTCTGGTTCGTGGAGCTCTCATATTGATTTTTTAATTTCCAAAACTTCTAAAATGACCGATTGCCTTCGAAGCTTAAAATACAGACTCTCCAGGAAATCTCTAGAAACTATATACAAACAATTCATTTTACCAATATTTGATTATGCTGATGTTTTATGGAACAATTGTACAAAAGAAGATGAAACTAAATTAGAAAATATCAATTTGGACGCAATTCGCACTATAACAGGTCTTGTTCGGGGAACTTCCCATTCAGTTTTATACAAAGAGTCCGGCTTCTCAAGTTGTAAAATTTACTCAAAATCCTCTGTACCATTATATTTCTACTCTGGCGACCGTCCATCACAAATAATACATACCAAACTACGTCATTATAAAAGTCAACTAAACGCTCACAAATTCTTAATGCACATATCCGACAATCCATCCTGTTCATGCGGCCACACCTTTGAAAATTCTGAACACTTTCTTCTCTACTGTCGCAACTTTTCAAAACAACGAAACAATACAATTAATCTTCTCCCTATTCATTTACGTTGCATATTAACACTTCTTAACGGCAATCCAAAATTATCTTTAGAAACAAATCTGTATATCTTTCAAACTGTTCATAACTTTATATCATCTACAAAACGTTTTGACACCTAGCTAACGCTGTCGAAGTATGGCCTCCGTTTTAAAACGAAGATTATTTTATTTTGATTAACGATAAACACCCTCATCCCCTCTCAACTATTTTCATTTGTCATTATCAATAACATTTTATTCACCAATGAATTTGTTCGGCCCTATTCCCTTTCCTTTTGTAAATATGTTTGTCACTTCCTGTTTTGTTTCCAATGTACATTTCGCTGCTGTCAACTCCTATATTATGTAAATTATACTTTTATCATCTGTAAATATTCGTATTGGTAACAGATTTATATAAGCTTCGGCTTGTTTCTGAAACCAACATTAATCTATAGCATATGTATGATTTTGTAAATTATCAATAAATATTGTTTAAACAAAGGAGAGTGGATCAGGAGTATGAAGAAAGTGAATCAGTGGGATGAGGAGAGTGAATCAGGGAGATGAGGAGAGTGAATCAGGAAAATGAGGAGAGTGAATCATGAAAATGAGGAGAGTGAATCAGGGAAATGTGGAGAGTGAATCAGGAAGATGAGGAGAGTGAATCAGGAGTATGAAGAGAGTGAATTAGTGAGATGAGGAGAGTAAATCAGGAAGATGTGGAGAGTGAATCAGGAAGATGAGGAGAGTGAATCAGGGAGATGTGGAGAGTGAATCAGGAAGATGAGGAGAGTGAATCAGGAGTATGAAGAAAGTGAATCAGTAGGATGAGGAGAGTGAATCAGGAAGATGATGAAAGTGAATCAGGAAGATGAGGAGAGTGAATCAGGGAGATGTGGAGAGTGAATCAGGAAGATGAGGAGAGTGAATGAGGAGTATGAAGAAAGTGAATCAGTAGGATGAGGGGAGTGAATCAGTAGGATGAGGAGAGTGAATCAGTAGGATGAGGAGAGTGAATCAGTAGGATGAGGGGAGTGAATCAGTAGGATGAGGAGAGTGAATCAGTAAGATGAGGAGAGTGAATCAGGGAGATGATGAAAGTGAATCAGGAAGATGAGAGTGAATCAGTAAGATGATGAGAATGAATTAGTAAGATGATGTGAGTGAATCAGTAAGGTAATGAGACTGAATCAGGAAGATGAGGAGTTACTTAGTCGGATTTTCGAGTTACTAAGTCGGATTGTCGAGTTACTAAGTCGGGTTTTCGAGTTATTATGTCGGATTTTCGAGTTACTAATTATTTCAGATGGCGCGAGAGAATTTTACAGAGTTTCCGAATACATTGACCATTTTTTATTACGATTGGCATGCCAACAACCTTCATTCCTCAATGATACTGCCGACTTTGTTTAAAAAATTAAACGTACCTCCTAGTGCCGTGTTCATTACATTGGGCGTTACTTCACTGTATATACAAATATCGATAACAATACCGGTTTAGAAGCTGTCCGAAAGGCCTTTAAAAGCAACCCGTGAGCGGAATGAAATGACAAGGAAAATTTAGATATCTTAGAAATGACTTTGATTTTAATGGAAAAATCATCATATATATTGGATTATTGTAAAAAGATGTGATGTTCCATATGTCGGCGAAACACAGAATGCGTTGTGAACTCGTTTTAATGGCCATCGCTACGATATCGTACATGGCAAAGATAGACCTATTGGGAACCACTTTAATCTTCCCAACCACGCCATTGAAGACTTGCAAATCATGCCTATTGAACATTTATTATTTGTTCTAAATATGAAACCTAAACTCGGAGATTACAGCGCGAGAGTTATTGGATGCTTTCTATGAGTTAAATTCTCGTTTCATCTTAACACTACTTTATCATTTTCCTTGACACAATTTCATAAATTATCTTAACATCTTATCATTTCATATCTTTGATAATTGAACCTTACTAGCCTATTTGGTCATAATGATTATAATAAAGCATCTCTAAAGGTAAGCTTGACCAATTACAACATATGGCTTTTCTATAGTGTTGCGTCCAAAATGTTGAGTGTTATATTATTTCATGGCAAGGCACGAAACGACTGACCTCAATTAAAATGATGTATCATGTGTAGATAGGAAACCGACCTCTCTGAGTTCAAAATAAATATACCAAGTACTAACGATCCGAACCGCAAAACGAAGCCCGAAATACGTAACAACAACAATATTGGTAGCAGCTAACGAACTTTTCACATGAGGAGGTATATCAATAATAAGTGAGTAAGTATTTCATAATGAAAAGTGGTATCAGGTGTCTAAGAGAGTAAGCATACTTTGCCTGGCGCCACACCCGCCATAGCTACTCAACATACACAACACACACTACAAATAGGAACAAATCATAACTTCATCAGTCTATGAGGTCATCATTTAATAAAATGCAAAAACGGACACACGTATCCTACGTGTTCTATAAGTATGAATCGTCAATGCATACACATAGGTAAAACATTAATACATATGATGAAAAATACTACATAAAATTTTATTAAACTGGGATTAGTATTCGATACAAAAGGACTTAAATGCCTATTCCTCATCAGAGTGTTCACACAGTTCGGTTACCATTGATGAGTTCAAACCTGCTGTGCCTTTACAGTTTACACTCAGAGCATGCACCAGTTCAGTCCAATCCATTCATTTTACATGAACATCTCTTCAATTACAATCACCCTTGAGGCTACATCGTATAATTTGCAGTAGACTGTCTGGTGCAGGTGGTAGTTCCTCATTGACAGCAAAGTGTCTTGATGTGGATGAATCCAACTCATTTAAACTCAAGTGGATTCTCTTTTACGCCCGCTTTTGACTCAATTGCATACCTTGATCTCTAGTTTTACACAAACATATATTTCATTATTTTGTAAACTCTATACATTACCCCTCTAATCTCAATCCAACTCCGCACCCTCTTCCAACTACAACAACCAATGACGAGAAGCCATATCTAAAACCTAATCGTCAACCACATAGTACGCACCAAGGCCCTGTATTTCATAGAGACTTACTTACCAAATAAGCAAGTTATATCCCACCACATCACCGACCTACCTATAAAACCTACCCATCCAAAAACAACCGCCGACCAAACCAACAACATAAACGACCATCAGCCATTCGACGCCAACTCATTCCAACTCAGGAGAAGAACAATAAAGAGACAAATGCGCCATATTGGGGGGTTGATTTGAATCTTCAGACTATGTCAATGGTCTTCAGAAGTATTTAGAAATTTAAGAAAATCGCATAATTCCATCAAAAAGCACCAGATAGTCATTCTATCTAAACAGTCCACGGTTCTCTATCTACGTCTTCTCATTCTTTTCCGCGTTATCAAGCCTCTCCAGAATCTCTCTTTCTTTGGTGCATATTTGGACCAGTAATACATCCCACCTTCACAAATGTCCTTTTCAACGTCTCCCAAACCAGTACTCATTACCCAATGTGCATTTCTGTTGTCTCAAGAAGCACAAGTGAACTGTAGGTTATCCCCATCACAACATATACCTTGTTACACACAACACAGAATTGGTTTTGTAAGATACGGCGAATATATAATACTATATTGTTTCTTTTCAGATGGGAAACCTATCAAGTTGCAAATGCGTGATTGTGTGTATCATATTATTAAATATAGTATCAGCCAAACCACCACACATATTGTTCATAGTAGCTGATGATTTCGGTGTGTACTTTTAGGTTCAAAGCTTCTTGGTTTTTATATCTTTTCGAAAACAGCAATGGACATTAACCGAAAGTGTTATTGCATGAGTAATTTGGGCCCAGTAAATAGTTTAATTCCGTTCCATTTCATCACAATTAACGAATGAGTCAGAATTTCCAATGGAATGTCGAGATTAAGCATCCCCGACTGAACATCTGCAAGTGTAGATGTAAGAATTGTATTACATTATTATACATTTTACATATAGACATGCACTGTGTAAAAATAATGTTGAAATAAACCCTGGTCACGCATGTAAAACACTTTAAAAATTAGTGCCTTTCTTGGTGAAATGGAAAGAAAGGAAACGTTTTATTTTGGAAGTATAATGATTTTCATTCAGGTTGGAATGATGTTGGATTTAGAAATCCTGATATGATTACACCAAATATAGATAAATTAGCTACTCAGGGTGTCATCTTTGAATCAGCTTATGTTCTTCCAGTATGCAGTCCGTAGGTTTTGTAGTATCTTCTTAACTAAAAACTTATGTTAACTCCATTGGAGTGTCGAGGCATTATCAGAGTCAAAATCAAATAAATATTCCAATCTAGCCTAACTTCAAACTACTCAGATTTGGAATGATATGAAAATACTAAAACCCAAATTTGTTTCTGATTGTAGATCAAGATCAGCTTTCATGTCTGGAATGTATCCATATAAAACTGGTTTACAGGTAAGATATATTCAAACTACGTATCGCAGTTGATCAATGAATGTACTGAGAAACCATAAAATATGTGACGGTTTCCACTCAGTTTTTTTCTGCTAAAAAGTCTTGGATTATTTATTTATTTATTCAAAATTACTTTTTTGTCAGCATATCGTTATTGGTGCAAATCAAAACACCTGTTTACCATTAGATTTAACTACTTTACCACAGCCGTTAAAGGCAGCAGGATATGCCACCCATGCCATTGGAAAGTAAGTACATACATATTAAATATTGGCCACAATCTCTATTAGGATTAGATGTATTTATTGTAAAGATCAGACTATTTGGACAAAATGCTTAAGACCACATCATTTCAGTCGGGAAATAACATGCTCTTCAGTCTGACTTTTCACCACTCCATTTTAATTACCGGTCAATTTCTGTCTGAATTTCAGGTGGCATCTTGGATTTTGTAGCTGGAAATGTACTCCAACTTATCGAGGTTTCGATTCCTATTTAGGATATTATAATTCACAAGAATATTACTATAATCATACATTTGGAGGTCAGAGTTTAGTTAGATAGTTACTATAAATAGCAAGTGCTGCTGGAAAGTGAATTATAGGGCATCATGACAACCGGCTTAGAAGTATCGCATCCAAATTTTTACAAAGGAATCATATCCCATCCAAATCATATCGTAGACAAAGTAGTCCGAGTTATTATTCAGCATCTTCAACTGTAAAATAACAAAAATAATTGTATGTAGTCTATTTGCATATGGACTATACAGAGTGTACTATCTCTCGTCCCATACTCCATATCATCTCCCGTACAAATTGAGTACTCTATAGTATCTCCCATACACAGTGTACTCTATACTATCTCCCGTACACATTGTGTACTCTGTATTATCTCCCATACACAGTATACTCTATTTTTTCTCCCGTACAAACTGTACTCTATACTATCTACCGTGCACATTGTGTACTCGATACTATCTCCCATACACACTGTACTCTATATTATCTCCCGTACACACTGTACCCTATACTATCTACCGTACACATTGTGTACTCTATATTGTTTCCCATACACAGTATACTCTATATTTCCTCCCATACACACTGTACTCTATATTATCTCCCGTACAAAGTATACTCTATATTTTCTCCCATACAGACTGAACTTTATAATATCTCCCATACACACCGTACTCTATACTTTCTCCCGTACACTCTGTACTCTATACTATCTCCCATATACAGTATACTCTATACTATCTCCCGTACACAGCACACTCTATATTATCTCCCATACTGACAGTATTCTATTCTCCCGCATTCAGTATATTCTATATTATCTCCCATACACACTTCACTCTATACTATCTCCCGTACACATTATACTCTATATTAGATATAACTATACCATATATCTTACATAGTGTACCCTATGATATCACCGTCTGTTACAGAGACAGACCACATTATAACACAATTAATATGTTTAAAATAATATATTTGTGTATTTTAGCTTATCTTGATTTCCACGATGGAACACGAGTAGCTCGAGAATACAACGGCCAATATTCAACTGTACGTATCAATGTCATTGAAATACTTTTTATACGCCCACATGAAATGGGAGGAGGGGGTGTATATTGCCGTCACCGATGTCGGTCTGTCGGTCCGTCCGTGAGTCACTCTACAAGGCATAATTCTTGACTTATTTCGATGAAACTTTGTATGGTTGTTTGTTATTTCCCAAGGATGATCCCTATTGAAAATCAGAAAAAATCGGTAAATATTTAGTATGAGTTATTGTCCTTGTTCTTTGAACGCTCGTAAGCACTCTAGAAGGTGCAATTCTTGACAGATTTTGATGAAACTTTGTGTGAGTGTTTGTTATCAACCAAGGATGAACCCAATCTAAAATCAGAAAGATTGAAAAATAATTAGTATGAGTTATTGCCTGTGTTCTTGAAAATGCTTTCAATTTTAGCTTGTAAACATTTTAAAAGGTTCAATTCTTGACAGATTTTGACTAAACTTGGTGTGAATGTTTGTTATCACCCAAGGATGATCTCTATCGAAAATCAGAAAAATCGAAAAATATTTAGTATGAGTTATGCCCTTGTTCTTGAAAATGCTTTCAATTTTAGCTTGTAAACACTCTTGAAGGTTCAATTCTTGACAGATTTTAACGAAACTTGGTGTGAATATTTGTTATCACCCAAGGATGATCTTTATCGAAAATCAGAAAAATCGAAAAATATTAAGCATGAGGTATTACCCTTGTTCTTGAAAATGTGTTTTAGCACGTAAACACTCTAGAAGGCACAATTCTTGATGGATTATGACGAAACTTGGTGTGAGTGTATGCAATCACCCACGGATGAACCCTAACGTAAATCAGAAAAATCGAAAAATATTTAGTATGAGTTATTTTGTTCTTAAACACGCGTTCAAGTTTTAGACTGTAAACACTCTAGAAGGCCCAATTCTTGACAGATTTTGATGAAACTTGGTAATGTTATTCAGTATCGCCTCAAAAAATTCAAAGGAAGTGTATGTCAAGGTTAAATATTTCATACTGATAATTGTTACTGTACTATCAAATATATTTATTTAAAATCAAAGCTGGCGTATACACCTTGCCTGACAAGCTATCTTTATCTGAATTAATAGGAGTTTCTGTTTTATTTGATATGAGTTAAATGATGTCTGTGGAATGAGAATCAGATATTTTGGCAAATTTAGTGAAATGTAGTAAATTACTCACATACTTTTCTAATGTGGAAAATTTAACAATCCTATTGAAAACCAGTTAGCTTAAAGGAAACCCTTTATTCATTTTAACAATGTGTTTGTGTAAAATACTATTCATGACCTGTTTATTGGGTCAAACGAGACAATCTAGTTAAAATTCATGTATTCTAAGTTCCCCAACTACGACTCCTATTCGGTTTATCAATAACATTTCCTTTTCAGTATGTGTATAATGACAGAATTCAGAAGATCATTTCCAAACACAAACCAGATCAACCTTTATTTATGTACTTAGCGTTTCAAAATGTACATTATCCTATACAGGTTTAGTATTTATACAGATATCTAGTAATAAAATAAGAAAATTGTAGCTTAGTTGAGAAGCAGTTGAGGAGCAGGTCATATGTAATAAGAATGCACCAAATAGATTCTTGTGAGAACCATCCATGGAAAGATTCCGGCACGACGCGTACATACAGTTGTCGTATTTTTAATTGATCTCGGCAGTTGTTCCCCCATTCAGTCTATCTGCCCCCTATTTGTACTCCCAGTTTCTGGAGGCTGGCTCTGCCACTAATTTCATGGCCCAACTCACTGAATAATATAAAATAAAATCCTAACTAATTTAGTTTGATTCTTTCTTTCATGATGAATATTTAATCTTTTAATGTCCACTTTTAGGTACCACAAAAATATGCTGATATGTATCCACATGTTGGGAATGAAGGTCGTAAACAGTTCTCCGGTAAGTATGTGATCCATTATAATAGAGTCCTGTGTTTATTGTAAAATATAACTTGGAAGATAAGAACTCCGCTTTGGTATGTATTAAATCATGAAATAACTTGACATTACTATGCTATGATATTTCAAGGAATGGTAACCGTTCTAGATGAAGCTATTGGTAATATAACAAAGACTTTACAAGAGAAAGGAATGTTGGACAATACACTCATATTATTTACAACTGATGTATGTATCTACAGAACTTGTTTGAACATATTTCATCCAGTCGTCACTGCTATTAAGTGCCAGCTAAAATATTTCCCAAGTATGGTAATGCAAACAGCTTTAATAAAAGAGAAATGCATAACAATTGAAAATCATGTTTTACAAGATACTACGATTACATTGTCACAACAGATGTCAATTAATTCGAAGAGCTTTAATGTGTTACAACTTGTTTTATAGAATGGTGCTGAGCTCTTTAAATATGGAAGCAACACACCATTACGTGGTGGTAAACATACATTATGGGAAGGTGGTACTCGAGGTACATCATTTATGTGGGGTGCAGGATTAGAAGAAACTGGTATAAAATACAATGGGTAAGATTTCCATCTACATTGGGATTGTTAGCTATAACGATTAAATATTATGTAGTTTTGAAAGATTCTCAATCAATAAAAGAACAGGTATCAGTTTTCATAAATGGTTTTCTGATTCTCAATATATTTCAATGTCTCGTAATTATCTATACTTCAATCATCTCATTGTTTTAAAATCTCTTTTTTCTTGGATACTTCCAGACTAATTCATGCTGTTGATTGGATGCCTACGTTACATGGCGCAGCAGGTGTCAAGCAAGGTACTTCATTTTTTATCGCCTTCTGTATACATATTTGATAGCAAAAATTACTTAATTCTAAAGATAGGTGCCCAGGTTTTCTTTTATTCATAAATGTATTATTCAGCTAATGAACGGATACTACCAATAGAAGTACGGATACTACCAATAGAAGTACGGATACTACCAATAGAAGTACGGATACTACCAATAAAAACCGAGTGTGAAAAATAGCAGTTTGTCTCTTATTAATTCTTACCGCTTAATTTGTGGATACCAATGACCGATCTGTCGCTTTCTAATTTATCTTTCCACTGCAAAACATGCTTAAACACATCTTACAAAATAGATAACAATTGATATTTTGAATTTTGGAAACAAATTTTATTAAATTGATTTATTTCTCACGAAATATATTATCTTCTTACTCGGTAATAATTATACATAGGAAAATGTCGCAAGACTATGTGTAAAGACTACTCATTTCTTTTCCAAAGTATTTTCAAAAACATTTCCAAACATAACCTTTTCTCTTTATATTGAAGTACCTGGTATAGATGGAATTAATCAGTGGGATTCTATTAGAAAACATAAACCATCAGCTAGAACAGAATTTATCTATAATTTAGATGATGAAGAAGAGCCGACACAGGGTCACGCCGGAATCAGGTACTTCAACGCATACAGAGAATCATTTTGCATCAAAGCATTCTTATTGTTATCCAGATTTGTTATATATTATGCATATCAAATAACTTTTTCCGGTTGTTATACAGACATATTAAAATTCCATTTGATAACATTTCATCTACGCTAAGGGATGATTATGATTGTCTTAACAATTATTTATTAAACTCAAAGAATATCATTTTAGTATCTTCTCTTTCTTGTCTGTATTTCTTACTTGCAGAAACTTCAGATAATTATCATGACGTCATCGTAATCAGTTATGTGTAAAGCAAATATTCTGAACCTATATCCCTTTGTTTAAAATCTCTTTAAGTTGTGTCTTTAATCTAACAATTTCTGCTCCACGTAATCTTCAAGCACCTTTTTAGATCTGGTGATTGGAAATTGTTATTAGGTTACCCTGGTCAGATAGATGGATGGTACAAACCTATGAATAATACTCAAGATTTTTCTTTGTATGAAAATATATATAGTTCGGGAGATAGTCCAGTACATCTATTTAATATTGCAGGTAAGTCAAATCTAATAACTAATTTTTTAATGATCTATGACTAAAGAATTTAAAAAATAAAACAACAAAATATTCTACTTAAATCCTTTGCTGCATTTATTTCAATTGTTCCATCAATATAAAAAAAAATGTGTATTTGGGTTTATTGTTAAGTCCTCATAGGCTTTGTAAAGGATATGTCTATGTAGGCTATGCCCAACGCTAATCTAAAATTACAGATAGGCCTATTGTTTGTATAAACAAGGTAAGAGTGAGCCCCAAATCTAACAAAGCTAAGACAGAATCTGTGCCTTCCCATTACAACCTAATTTCTTTTAAGATGATCCCTTAGAATACCACAATATAGCCAGTCAACACCCTGATATAGTAGCTAATCTAACCAGGAAAATTAAAGAATATAGAAAGTCGATGGTACCGGCTAACTATCCACCTGGTGATCCTGAAGCAGATAAATTCGCGAAACAAAATGGTAATGCGTGGACGTCTGGATGGTGCTAACAGTATGACTGTTAAGTATTTATGTTATTTGTGTGAATAAAGTTATAAAACACCCGATGCTACAGTTTTCTAGAGTATCGGGGACACTGAAAACATCGATTTGCACCATTTCAATTTTCAATCGGTTGTCACTGGTAATTTCATTAAAAACTTTATTTATAATTATCAGCTTTTGTGATAAGCAGTCATATGACAAGAAATTGGAAAGAGGCAAAAGAAGCACTAAAGCTACAAAAGCCCTTCACTATTCCTTAAAGGTTTAATTGGTATGTGGATCCCAAGGGGTAAGAGTGGTTGTAAAAATGACATACCCACATGACATCACCGATTTTAAATATAAACTGTTGGCCACAATCGCGATGAATTAATTCCAGACCATTGGTAACTCATTCGGAACACAGAAAGTTACCTTTGCTTATCCATTGTCAGAGAAAGTTCCATTTGCTGGTAATATTTTTTACGTAGTGAAGCCTTGAGGGGTTGTTGGTGGACAGACAAACTTATCCCCTTTACATCTCAAAATCTACAAAATGTGTAATTTACCACGGGGTAAATATATTAGCCCTACCACTAAAGTAAGGATTTCTGCCTTGCTAACCGCTTCTTCTTCTTGCTGGTTCTTAACTGACTGAAATAAGGAAATTGAGGGGAGATGGGGTGGATGGAAGAAAAGTTTGGATAAATGATTAGTTTAATTTTTTTATTTTTTCACTTTGCTATGCCCATTTTAATTGGATACATAAAGAATCCTAAATACATCTATTTGTAATGTTTATAAAGCGGTTATTGTCAATTTTCCACGATCTTCTTCAATTTTCGAATTTTGGTTTAATTTGTCGCTTCCACTTAGTTTGTCATCAATGGTATCCTCCAGCGCCAATCCAAGAGTTTCTGGTAACAAAAACTGCACCATTACAACACTTATACTCAATATTACTATCACTATAATATAGGGTACCATCTCATCATCGCTCTAAAAATGATAAAACCTAATGTTTAGGGTACCATCGTAATCTATCCCATACGATGATTAAGAATGTAAATTTGCCTTTCCTTTTTATACCTAACTGGGCTATTGGGAGAGGACAACGACATACAATGTGCAATAATCGAAATATCTCTAGCATTAACCCTTTCCGATTTTCAACTCACAAGGAGTCCTGATTTTGAGGTTTTTAAAAATATTTTTGAGTATACAGACATTGATTAGTGGACATAACATTTCATATCTTGGATAACGCAAAAAAAAAAACAGCAGCTTACCAAAGAGAAAATATGTGGCGCAATGATTCCCCCCACTCTAGCTGCCATATTGGCTGCTCCGTAGCCGATGTTTCTACAATAGAAGTTTCAAAAATCATACACGAGATAAATAACAAAACCCAAACCTCAAAACTCGTTCATGAATGACCTACATCAGTATAAATGAGTGTATCTAGAAAATGCCCGAGTGTTGGTAGGCAAAAATGAGAGGTGTCTTTCCGAGGCGAGGTGATGATATATGAGGATTTAGAGATCTTACTTTCACTGGCCCATCCCTAAATAGGCCACTGTTTGTATAGTCTACTTTAAAACATGTCAAAATATAAATTGTGAGATACATAATTACTCATTCAACTCATGTACCTAATTACTGTTGGATACATCTCATTGGTAAGAGTGATCAATCCATTCCAGGCACAACCAGTAAATAACCTAGCAGATAGAGACAATCCGGTGATCATGGTTCCTCTATGTAATTCTTCTTCTGACACTGGAAATATATACATTGAAAGAATAGGTAATAATTGCAGAGTAACATATGAATAATTGCAAAGTTGTTTCCAGAGGTTTGTGATAATTGCAGAGGTATATGATGATATTGGCAGAGGAATATGCCGACTTCTGCAGACGTATAATATGATAGTATTTGCAGAGGTATATGAGAATATTTGCAGAAGTATATGATGATATTGACAGATGAATACACTGACATTTGCATAGATATGATAATATTTGCAGATGTATATGATAATATTTGCAGAGGTATGTAATAATATTTGTATAGGTATATGATGATTTTTGAGTTATATGTTAGTAATTGTTTATAGAGCAATATTGAAGGTTAATCAAAAAACATGATAGTAACAGTATATTTGTAGTCGTGTGGCATGCAAGTTTTTAAATAAAAAATAAAATAACAATTAATTCTTCAAAATGGATACCGAGTTAAAAAAAATGAACTGAAGTGTTCAGTATTTCATAACTTTTTAAATATTTACCTAGTTTCTGTATAACAATCACAGAAAGACATGAAATAACGCTCAGTGTGAATGATATTGTAGCGAAAAATCTTCTCCCAAATCTAGAATAAAATTCAGCATTACAAACTGATAGAAATAGCAATAGAAAAAGCTTTCTAGGTGAATCGAAAACACACTTCAGCCTACCCAATATGTCCCCGTCAACAATTCTTACATTTCTTTGAGATAGTGACGTCATAAAACATGTGGATTAAAGTGAGATTGTAACAGATCTTCTGACTAATAATAAAATTGGATAGATGCAAATTGATGCCATCAGTGTCACAGAAAATCTCTTTACAATCCTTTCACTTTATAATTCGCCAATTCTTTTCAACAATGCCAATCTCCGTCTCACCTGTTCATTATAATTATAGATGGTATGCATAATGGAAATTCTAAAATGTTCATCAAGAAAAGATTCAAATAAAAATTTCCAGAAAATTTTCCTACGCCGAAAGCGAAACCATAATACGATGCTGACACAAACAACCTAGATAAAAAAATAAAATCCTGTTAAAATTATGATAATGTACAGGGTTACCGAATATTGTTTACGGTAACAATGCTTCCTATTGCAGAAAATTTATTTTGTGTTCATTATAAACGCTACAAAGAGTCAAAATACTTCATGACTTCCATTATGCTCACATAATATTGATAGACAAATACATCTATTTCTTATTCACGTTTTTTTTTCTGAGATTTAGACAACTGGTGATTTAAGTGATCTGTCACTCAATACAGCACTAATGAGGTTGCCTAGCAAGATACGCCCACTTCCCTGATATATTTTCAGTATATCAAGGGCGGTCACCTATCTGTGTCAACTCGTACCAAAAAGCTAATTTGTGCAAGATACTATTCATATAAACAAACACAAAATTTAATAAAATTCTGACATAAACTGTCACCTCTATCGCGTTCACAAGCTAACAAATTTAAATGCGTTTTTACTACGTCAAGGGCAATAACTCAAATTCCCTTGATCGAAACGCATAATGCATGGCATTTAGTAATCAGCATGAATAAGAAATAATATACTACTTTTATGGAATACAAAATTACTATATTTTATTTGAACTTGTCCAAGATCTCATCAATATACATGATCACAGCAAATTTCATTTAAACCGGATGAACAGTGTATAGTCTCTATTGTGTTAAAAAACAAATCATGACGCATTTTTCTTAAGTCAAGGGCAATAACTCAAAAACCGTTCATCGAAACATCGTCTAATTCGAAGTCCAAGATGTCATTTTTATAAATGATCACACCAAATTTCATTTAAATCGGATGGACATTGTAGTCCCTATTGTGTTCACAAACAAATTTTGACGTGTTTTTCCTTAGTCAAGGGTTAACTCAAAAACCGTTTATCGAAAAATATTCTTGACCAAGATGTCATGAATATAAATGATCACACCAAATTTCATTAAAATCAGATAAAAACTGTTGTCTCTATTGCGTTCACAAGCCAATTATGGACAGGGCCGACGAATACGGCCACATCATAATGGCATACGTTTTCGGAAATTCAGTGTTTACCAGATTCTAACAGATGTCACTATTTGTAAAATATCTGATAGACTTAGAGATTGAAGAAGTAAAATGTAATATATTTTTAAAACGTACCAAACTATTTGAACAACAATCGATATTTGTAGTAAATGTGCGCCTCTGTAAAGATCTAAATATGAATATTTTTTGTCACCATCTAAGATATGTTTTTCCTCTTCACAAATCTTTTCTAATATTTCTCTGGTATTAGCGGGTTTAGTTTTACCGTTCATGATGGCTACCCTTTCTACTGCCTTCTCAGCTTCATCTAATCTCCCTTTCACAGTCAACCATCTAATGCTCTCTGGAATTATACTGTATGAACAAGACGGTCATTATACATAAATCAAAGTGAAACCAGCATATCCCCAGAATCATTCCAAAATCATGGACGTCTATTATAGCTGAATACAAAGTCTGGTCGAGAATTGTGTGGGCAGGGGCTATCAACAATCTCAGGAGTTCAACATTGGAATGATGCAAAAAAAACGATATCACATTATTGTATTCAGGTTTACAGGTTAAATTATCTTCAGTCTTTGGAGAATTAGCCTAATTAAGAAAAAACTATCGGACATCCTACGCCCTTGGCCTGTTTTATTGACATTTCATTGACTATATGTTGCTTTTTTTGGGCGGGATCCTATTTACTTTTACTTGAAACATTTGTGCACTATCGACCTTACACAAGTATTTTGAATAATGGTATAACACTTACAACCATCCAAGTAGAAATGGAACAGTACTGATACCAACCAAGTGAACGTACACCCAATCACGCAGTAGCCAAGAGACTAAGGCCAGGAAGCAAACTCCAGTTGCCCAAAATGGTACCGCTGTCAGTATAGGTCGCCATCGGTATCCTATGAACTCAACAGGAAACATACTAACAACTAAGTAGCTTCCTAAGGTAGAACCAATGACAAATCTGAAAACAGCAAACATCTGCCAAGAAACACTGAAGACGATGATAGTGCTGAAGATTGAGTGTAAGAGTAAGGTTAGATAGAAAGTCTTCTTGCGTCCTACCATATCAGCAGCCTGTCCCCCGATTAGAGCACCAACTAAAACTCCTCCAAACTGAATAGACGTTATCATTGGTGGTATCCATTTTCTGTCACATGTCAAGTCCCACTGAAAAAAATGAAACCTATAGTTACAAGAGTATAAAATTTCCAGGATGATTAATAACACATAGAGAGCTTACAAAAACAAAGCCAAACGATGTACCCTTTCCATCATCAATGTCCCCTTTTTTGAAGTTTCAAGGATGGAAAAGCCAAACAAATATCTTTATTTTTTAAGATCACAAACGCGAAACTCAACATTACAAGATTTAAGAGCTATAAATTAGGACCAACTTGCAACTATCAATGGTGTTCTAGAACTATACTCGATGGATTTGATTCGTCTACATTTTCACAAGCACTGAAAAGCTTAAACTGTGACTGTCTGAAATCATATAACTCAATTTCTTTTCGTCACTTTGGTATATCAAATCTTTACTTTTGGGCCTAAAGCATAAAAAAATCACCCTCGCAAAAAATATTTAAGCAAACTGAAGTCACTGTGATTGTTTTCTGTAGGATAAAAAGATACAACAAAATCTTCCCTTGGAGTTTTCTTAAAGGTATATTCTCGCTTTTTTTTCGCTTGATAAAGGGATTAGTCCCGAAACGTAGCTATATTTACTCTAATACCCCTTTCGCACTGCACAACTGAATTATTGAATTCGGTTATAACCGAATAGAAAAATCCGATTCAGTTCGGTTGGATTCGGTTCGGGTTGCTTTCGCACTGCAATCCCATCTGGATAGCCGCTTTCGCACTTCCGAGTCAAGTTATCTGGATAACTTTTATTTTTAGTAACACATCATGTCACGTGACAAAACATTAAAAACAAATATGGACGTTGGCAATTATAATTGGAGCAACGACGAAATTCGCTGCATGCTCGCTGTCTGGGGCGATACTAAAATTCAAGATGAATTAGATGGCATGAAGAGGAATAAACATGTTTTTTCAACTATTGCCAACTCGTTCAGATTAATAATTCCAGCTCTCATCCACCATTCCGACCTAGGTTGCACCCACAGTTGACGGGACTGAAATTCCTTGTTTATAAATAAAAAAATATGAAAATAAAAACAAAAGCATTTTTTGTTTCCTCTTCCGATATATATTCATTCTTTTCCTAGATAATTCGTGTACTTTATTAATCCCGTCAAATATCATCATAACGTCCGCGCAAACAGGAGCCATTTTGAAGTGCTTATACACGTGACACCTCACGTTATAAACTTATCTTGTTTGGTTTCGCACTGCCACTTATCTGGATCGTATCCAGACGAAATCCACCTCTTGAGGTAGATTTTTCTATCTGGATAACTTCTGGTTATAACCGAATAAGTTTTTTTTGCCAGTGCGAAAGCAACAGGAAGTTATTCGGATAGAACTCGAATTACTTTTGCAGTGCGAAAGGGGTATGATTGTATCGACCTTTACCTACTGTTTGCACGTTATCGTGTGATTCATTCACTAAAAAATAAGGAAACCCATCTTTAATATCTTAACGCGAAAACCTTTTTAAAAACATTACGTAAGTTTACGTAAACTTTTAATGTTCGATGTGCATTTTGGAAGCTGTTACAAAACTACTCTACGGATTTAAGTAAAAGAAACGCCTAATTGTAATGAAATGTGCCTTCTATACGCATTCTAAACGTTTCAACTATTAATATCTAGCCACACACGAAAACTAGGTAAAACTGCACAATTAACATTAACAATTAATACTCTCCGTTTTTATACGCCCACATCTTTCTATGTGGACGTATATTGTCGGCACCCCTGTCCGTACGTCGGTTCGTCCTCCGTCCGTCCGTTACATTTGCTTGTAAACGCTGATTAATCAAATGAAATGAAATGGTATGTGTATACATATTCATAAAACGAAGATCAAGTTCGAATTTTCGAACCGTTAGAGTTATTGCCCTTGCCCCAAAATCTTGCATATGCTATTACTCTCTTAGTTTTCAACCGATTTTGATGAAACTTAAAATGGATGTTATTGGACCTAAATCGAAAGTTTAGTTTACTTCTAATGAAATTTAAGGCTTTTTCAAGATTTAGGCCTCTTACGTCAGATTTGAGGAGTTATCGCCCTTTAACCTCTATACAGTAAGTGCTTCTATCAACATCAATTGCTCGTAAACACTCTAAAAAGTATGTATGTCCATACATTTTCATGAAACGAAGATCAAGTTCGAATTTGAGCTATTTTCGACCGTTAGAAGCAGAGTTATTGCCCTTGCCCCAAAATCTTGAATATGCTATTACTCTCTTAGTTTTCAACCGATTTTGATGAAACTTAAAATGGATGTTTCGTTTTTACCACCCGCATGCCGTGGTGGGCGTATATGGCTGTGGTCCACTATCTTTAATTAACCTTTTAAAACAAATTCCGTTTGATCAAGTAGATACATAGATATAAATTGCATACTTTAGAAATATTTTAGTTATAATTTACGACGTTTTTGATAATGAAAACATTTTACAGAAAGGGGAATGCCCCCTTAAGATCTGCTTTAGGCCCATTGGTAAAAGATTCAATAAAATCCCATCATATGATTGTGGATTATAAACTATGTTCACCATAATTGTCTTTCCGTACAAAGAAGCATAATTCAACCTGTAAAATACAAACATTGAATTCCATCGATAATAAAAATCCGCAAAGCAAGCTAATTCCGTTAATTAAGAATATCGTTAAACGTATGGCTAAATCGAGAGTAAAAGTTTTAAAGTAGTGGATTCCACCAAAGAGAATTATCAAAAGAGTAAGTATTACTAAACTTACCTTAGTTGCGAGTGTTGAAGTGTGATTATCATACACTCGTTCACAAGTTTCATTGAGTACAGATGGACAAGTTTGGTAAGTGTTATTCCGAGGAAATTCATGTAGAGTATCGACGCACCACCAACCTGGTATATAACCACAAAATGTCATAATCAACATGTTGAAACCTATCGATAATTTAGGCAACATCACCATTGAAATCACTAAAATTTGGAATTTTCCAAAGGATCCAATTTCGTCTATGAGGTTGTCTAAATGCATCGTTTGATTGTCAGACTCCTTTCAATGTTTGTATATTAGTATGTTAACTGTTAACATTAAACTATTCCAGCTCTGAAGTTATAAATCATTAAATAATTAGTTAGACTTATATGCGTAGATTTCGAACGTATTTGGGAGATACACCTCTATGAGATTTCGAGGCGAAGCTAAGGGAATCTTGTATAGTAATAATAAATTTATTAGGCATCCTATTTAGCAACCCTAACAAAGTAAAATACAAAAAGACCTTGTGCATGTAGAGAATTGGTACACCAGTATAAATGTAGCACCAATTTTTTTATCATTCAGTGTAGACTTGTTTGGTGAGATGATTTTTGTTATACACAGTTTGTGTAAAAACAATGGCCATACAACAACATCTGTCACTATGATTAACAGTTGATGTGTAAAAACTTATGAAAAAAGATGCAGTCTTAAAATACTATCTAAAATACAACTCAATGAAGTATAAATGAAAACGAAGCGTAAACTAGTGTCAGCACGTGTTTTGAAATCTAAGCTTATACCTCAGAATTTCATCAAGCTTTGTCAATAGAAAGTTCCAGATAAAAAAAAAGATAATAATCCAAATAAGTAACCCAGAATACAGGAATAAAGAAAATACACACAGCAATTTAGTGACTTCTCACTGTGCCCATTTTACCGCGGCATTTGCCCAATTTGTGTTAAAAGTGTGTTTATTTCATAGTGTAAAATCTTCAAGCCTCTCTATAGAATCAAGACATGACCAAGCTAAACCTCATGTGAATCGAAAATTTTAGAAAAAAAAGCTTTCCGGCTGAAATACATCATTCTCAGTATTAATTCTATTATATGTCTTGTTATCCGACCAGCAACATTAAAAAAGCAAACCATATTGAAAATTATACTTACAAAACAACGCCTGAAAACAGGATGGCCGTTGTGATTTTGAAACCTATCCACTGCAGAAATATGTAGGTGAAAAAGTTTTGCATACGAAAGTAAAGTTATACCAACTCCAATATTCTATAGGAAACTAATACTAATTTCCCCTTGTCGCCGTAAATTTGGAAACAATCCGGAGTAAATCATATGTAAAGCTAACGGTTTAAATCAAAAGTAAAGAAAGGGTTGAAGATCTTGACCAAGTAGGTTCGATAAACCATTAAAATTCATAGACAAGTTATTGACACAAATATAATACACCATTTACATTCGTGATAAAGCAAGATTGTTAATATATTATATTGTTATACAAACGAGGGGCGGAATATCGATAGAAAATTGGTATATTCATCTTTCGTGATATGTGATGAACTAAGAAGGTCATGTTAGAACGAAATAAGAATAATACTACTGTTTTCCTCAAAAAGTGCTGGTCGGGGTCAACTATCCTTCACTGCATCACCGCTATTATCATTTATCAATGTTTGTCACATAAATAATATTTTATCGGTTACTGATAAAATATTTTAAAGTGTCAGGTGGGAGCCAATCACATGACTAGTAGAGTATTCCATTCTTCCATGCTGTAGAGCACAGGTTAATATAAACGAACCGACCCTTAACCGATAGTAACACGAACTGGTCAACGTGACGTAATAGCTTCCTTCTCAAAGAGCATGGCTGACATTCTGGTCAAGTCTTTATCGTTCTAACTCATTTCTGTTATTTGTGGAGATTAGTGGTTGACAATTTGGTATGTTTTTATGTTATCTTATTCAATGTATATCGTAGAACATTTCTAGCGGTCCTAAACTCCCTGTCATTTTGTATTTGTCCTGTAATTTATATGTAAAGTTTGGGTCTGAAATCTTTTCATCGTCAATGATTAGCGCGCACTGTCGATTGCCTTATATGGAAAGTGAAAGTACAATTTCTCGAATAGCTTTGTTTACATTCTGTAGTATTTAAAAGAGTCCCTCTCTTGCCCAAATTATATGAATAGCTACTTGTTATTGTAATTTTGTATCTTTTCAGTTAATCGTCAAATATCCTATCATATCTTGTTAGATTCAGCATTGTCCACTTATTTATGGTTTTATGATTTTATGATATTTTGGTTTTAATAAACTCTGTGTGAACGCTGTTCTAATGTGTTTGGTTTTTGTGGTCCTGATAGTCTTACGCATTAACAACGCCACACATGCTGTCGGCAAGTAGAAAGTTACTATTAAGTTTGCTGTCATTTAAGTTTTAGTGTGTTTGGAAGAATTTCAAAGCTTCTAAGATAAGTATTGCAATCTTATGTTAACAATGCCCAGGAGCTCGCCGACTGCTTTTTATGACAGCTAATGTCGTTAATTACTCAGATTACGTTTTTTTTAAAGTTAAGTCTGTCACCGCCTTTATGTAGAGTGTAATGGCTTCGAGCCCATTTACTGGAAACGTGATCTTGTCAACTGTGTAGTTAAGTGACCTAGTTTTTATTAGAAATTTTACACGCAGTGCCGTTATCGAGTTTAAATGATAATATCTGTACTTTTTTGTGGCTCATCGCATTTGATTCGTTTGCAAACGTATATGAATAGCAACGTGCGTGCCAATAACTTTGCGTTGAATTCTGCAACTAAAACGATTCCATCACCAAACTATTCTACCGCCAATTGGAAAAAGCGACCATGTAAGCATTTTATTTTCGACTGACAGCACATCATCGTTAAAGACAGCAGATCAACCACACTACAAAGAAGCTAGCATTAGAAATCCACCCGATTCGCCTATTATTAGTTGATTCTTTCAAGAAGTTGTTAGTGGCTATTACTGCTTATAACATAACAAAGGCGCCTTTCCGCCTTCAGAGGTAAATGTTAGTTGCTACGAACAGCTAACAAAGGCTATCACGTTAGTGATAACCCAATGCTTGCAGCAGCTAACAAAGGCTAACAATTATACTGCTGCCAACAGCTAACAAGGGCTAACAATGGGCCAGAGGTAGCACCGGGGTATTGTATCTTGGGCATTGCCTGTATCAAGGTATTCTATAGTGGGCCACGGGCAGAATCAGGCTATTAATATTTAAACTCTTGTAGTAGTAATAGTAGATCATTTTAACTGGTCCATTGGCTGTAGCAAGGTATTTTGACTGGCTCACTGATTGTACCGGGTCATTATTACTGGACCATTGATAGGAATATTCTTTTGCGACCACTTGCTGAACGCAGGCTTTTGATACTGGCCCACAGGTAGTATCAGATTATTGATATTGGACTCCTGGTAGTACCAGGTTTCTTGGGTCATTTGTGGTTCAGGGGTATGCTTATTGGATGACTAAGTATCACTGTGTTGTTACTGGGCTAGATGTAGTGCTAGACTACCAGTGCCAGGGCAATGTTACTTGATCACAGGTAAGATCTAAGTATTGTAAATGTAGAACTAGTCAATTGTTATTAATCCACTGGTAGTACTAAGCTATTGTTACTGGGCCACTGATAGTACTAGGCTTTGTTACTGGACCACTGGTAGTACTAGGCTATTGTTACTGGTATTGTTTTGATCCACAGGTAGTCCTAAGCTATTGTTACTGGGCCACTGATAAGCTATTGTTACTGGGCCACTGGTAATATTACGCAATTGTTACTGAGCCACTGATAATACTAGGCTATTGTGTTTGGGTCACTTGTTGCACCAGGCTATTGCTACTGGTATTGTTACTAGGTCACTGATAGTACTATGCTATTGTTATTGGGCCACTGATAGTACTAGGCTATTATTACTGGGCCACTGGTAGTATTAGGCTATTGTTAGAGGGCCACTGTTAGTACTAGGCTATTATTACTGGGCCACTGGTAGTACTAGGCTATTGTTACTGGGCCATTGGTAGTACTAGACTATAGTTACTGGGCCAATGATAGTACTAGGCTATATTTACTAGGCTATTGTTACTGGGCCATTAATAGTACTACGCTATTGTTACTGGGCCACTGTTAGTACTAGGCTTTTGGTTGTGGGCCACTGTCAGTACTAGGCTATTGTTTGTGGGCCACTGTTAGTACTAGGCTATTGTTAGTGGGCCACTGTTAGTACTAGGCTATTGTTAGTGGGCCACTGATAGTATTAGGATATTGTTAGTGGGCCACTGGTAGTACTAGGATATTATTACTGGGCCACTGGAAGTACTGGGCTATTGTTAGTGGGCCATTGGTAGTGCTAGGCTATTATTACTAGGCCACTGGTAGTACTAGGCTATCATTACTGGGCCACTGGTGGTACTAGGCTATTGTAACTGGGCCACTGATAGTACTAGGCTATAGTTACTGCGCCAATGATAGTACTAGTCTATTGTTACTGGGCCACTGGTAGTACAAGGCTTTCAATTATTCGTCCACTGGTAGTACTAGGTTATTGTTTGTGGGCCACGAGCAGTACTAGCCTATTATTACTGGGCCATTGGTAGTACTAGGCTATTGTAACTGGGCCACTGGTAGTACTAGGCTATAATTACTGGGCCATTGGTAGTACTAGGCTATTGTAACTGGGCCACTGATTGTACTAGGCTATTATTACTGGGCCACTGGTAGTACTAGGCTATTTTTAGAGGGCCACTGTTAGCACTAGGGCCACTGGTGGTACTAGGCTATTGTAACTGGGCCACTGATAGTACTAGGCTATAGTTACTAGGCTATTGCTACTGGGCTATTGATAGCACTATGCTATTGTTACTGGGCCATCGGTAGTACTAGTATAAAGTTACTAGGCTATTTTAACTATGCCGCTGTTAGTACTAGGCTATTATTACTGGGCCACTAGTAGTACTAGGCTATTATCACTAGGCCACTGATAGTACTAGGCTATTGTAACTGGGCCATTGGTAGTACTAGGCTATTGTAACTGGGCCACTGGTAGTACAATATAATTACTGGGCCATTGGTAGTACTAGGCTATTGTTAGAGGGCCACTGTTAATACTAGGCTATTATTACTGGGCCACTGGTAGTACTAGGCTATTGTTACTGGGCCATTGGTAGTACGAGACTATAGTTACTGGGCCAATGATAGTACTAGGCTATAGTTATTAGGCTATTGTTACTGGGCCATTAATAGTACTAAGCTATTGTTACTGGGCCACTGTTAGTACTAGGCTATTGTTTGTGGGCCACTGTTAGTACTAGGCTATTGTTAGTGGGCCACTGATAATACTAGGATATTATTACTGGGCCACTGGTAGTACTAGGCTATTGTTATTGGGCCACTGGTAGTACTAGGCTATTGTTAGTGGGCCATCGGTAGTGCTAGGCTATTATTACTAGGCCACTGGTAGTACTAGGCTATTATTACTGGGCCACTGGTGCTACTAGGCTATTGTAACTGGGCCACTGATAGTACTAGGCTATAGTTACTGCGCCAATGATAGTACTAGTCTATTGTTACTGGGCCACTGGTAGTACAAGGCTATCAATTATTCGTCCACTGGTAGTGCTAGGTTATTGTTTGTGGGCCACGAGCAGTACTAGCCTATTATTACTGGACCATTGGTAGTACTAGGCTATTGTAACTGGGCCACTGATAGTACTAGGCTATTGTTACTGGGCCACTGGTAGTACTAGGCTATTGTTAGAGGACCACTGTTAGTACTAGTCTATTATTACTGGGCCACTGGTGGTACTAGGCTATTGTAACCGGGCCACTGGTACTAGGCTATAGTTACTAGGCTATTGTTACTGGGCCATTAATAGTACTAGGCTATTGTTACTAAGTCACTGGTAGTACTAGGCTATTGTTACTGCGCCATTGATAGAATTGGCTATTGTTACTGGATTACTGGGGTAGTGCTAGGCTTGTATTACTAGTGCTAGGCTGTTGTTAGTAGGCCACTAGTAGTACTGGGCTATTGTTACCCCTGTAGTCTCAGATTATTATAATTGGACAATAGGTTAATGCTACTAGGCAACCTATGGTAGGGCCTACAGATTATTGATATTGGTTTGGATTGGAAGGTTACTGTGTCACATGAGACTGTCCCGTCGATTATGTCTTGCAATTGCAAAAATTAGTTATTGTTATTTTACCACTGACAAAAAGGTTCAACAACGGGCCCTTTAATTCAACAATAGGCCTATTCTGTTGGCATTTTGGTTTTGGGGCGACTGTTCTGAATTTTATCAGAGACGAAGTGAAGGGTGCCTTAGTTCCTGGGATTGTACTACACCAATAAACTACAAGCTTCCAATCTTCAATATTTATTTTCAAATATGGATTTTCGTATTGCAGAAATTAGTAATTTAGTAGTTTAATATAGTCAACTGAAAATATAAATGAAAATTTTCGTTAACAATTGAGTTTAGGCTTAGGCCTAGGTTTACAAAGCAAATTAATTAAATTTACATACATACATAATAGACTAGAATATTAGCAAATCTACTCACTCTAATAGTGGGAACTTTAAATGGGCTAATAATTAGCTTGGTCGCCTTATTTTAAAGGTTTATCGGAATCATGCACGTTTGTTCACGCACACCATTGCAACTTTTTTCTGTTTCCGGAATTCCCCAAGTCACATGTTTTAGAATGAATTGATTGGCTAAATTTTACACTGTCACTATTTATAACTAACGACGTCAGACATGACGTAATATAATAAAAATACTGGGAAACACCGACTTTCTGTCAGTTACTAAACAATAAGCTAATATAATTATAGGCTTACATAATTAATTTCTAAAATAATAAGCAAATGTTCTGAACACTCCGGACCCAATGACAAAATTCCGTAAAATTTTGAGTCATGACACACGAATAAATACATTTGCACATCTCTAAGCACTAGTAAGTTCCTCATTAGTGGCAATTAGACATAACTTGTGAATAGGTCGGTCATATAGTCCTACAGGAGTTTTGATTTGAACTTTACGAACTTTTCCGTCCGATCCTGGATACACTTGTTTGATCAAAGCCATTTTCCATTTTCCCCTTTTCCTATTAGGATCTATTTCGAGAACAAGGTCTCCTATTCCAAGATTATCTCTTGATTTATGCCATTTGTTTCGTGAAAGGAGGGTAGATGGAAAATACTTTAACCAACAATGCCAAAATTCAGATATTCGTGCTTGTGAGCTACGAATTAAGTTTCTTGGATTAACACGATCTTCATCTTTAGGCTGTGGTGGTACTATAATTGATCCATACAGCAAATCGTTGGGGGAAACTGGAGGATCTTCAAATATTTCACTTGAAGCAGGATAACGCGGTCTAGAATTTATTAGAAATGTTATTTCCGCTAGAATTGTGTGCTACTGTTCTTCAGTGTATTCGCGTGATTTACACGTAGCATTAAAGGCTTGTCTTACGGACTTGATTAGATTCTCAACTACACCGTTCATGTGGGATGCCCGTGGGATATTCCATTCCCTGTTAAACTTCAAATCGCGAGAATAGTTTTGAGTTATCACATTTCTGACACTGTTTAAATCCCAATTTTCCATAATTTCACGTAAATAAGATTGAGCACCCACAAAATTGGTTCCTTGATCAGACCACACACACTTAGCTTGACCCCTCAGGCATGAAAATCTCCTATAAGCCATGAGGAATGAATCCGAACTTTTATCAGACACCAATTCCAAATGTATAGCGCGTGACGTCATGCAAGTGAATATTATCACGTTTCCTTTAATGTTTTCCTTCCTAATTTTATAAACACTGGACCGAACATATCGAGAGCTGTATTGTAAAAGGCTGGGAGTCCAGCAGCAACTCTGAGTTCTGGGATTTGACCCATTAACTGTTCCACTGGCTTTTTCCTTAATTTTCTGCAAGGAATACAATTTTTTGTTAACGACTTAGCAGTATTCCTTAAACCTAATATCCAAAATTGTCTTTTGGCTTCTGCGATTAACCTCTCATATCCACAGTGTCCACGTTTTTCGTGCAAGTGTTCTAGGATTACATTCACAAATTGATGATTTTTCGGTAATATTATTGGATTTCTTTGATCTTTAGGCAGAGTTCGAACTTGTTCCAATCTTCCGTGGGCTCGAATAATACCATTTCCATCCCGTTGAAGTGTAATTCCTTGAACATCAGTAGATTTAGGTAGATCACATTGTGTCCATTTGAATAACACATTTTGAGAATGGTCTAATTCAGACACGGTAAAAGGTCCTTTTTCGAAATTTCTCTTCGCGATATACTTTGCAAATCTAATTAAATGGCACATATATGTACGAAGTTTTATGAAACTAGATGTTTTATCTAAAAGTTTACTCAACATGTTATTTTCATTTACTGGATCATTTTGGACAGCAGTTTGAGTTGATGTAACATTATTTCTTGCGACTTTATCCAGCTTTTTGGGTGGCTTATACTCAATTGAAACTTGAGGTGTTTCGTCTGTTTTACACTGTATTTTAATCTCGAAATTTGGCCATTCCGATTCCGGTAACTTAAGAAAACTTGGACCATCCAGCCACTCTGAGAGTTGATTGACTGATATTCGACGAGTTAAAGCGTCAGCCTGATTGTACTCAGACATTACGTATCTAAAGAGTTTGACATCGATTGACTCCTGGATTTCTGCGACTCTTGCAGAAACAAAGGGACGGAAAGTTTGCGGTGGTGATTTAATCCATTTTAAAACGGTTGCAGAGTCACACCATAGATATACTGGAAAGTTTTTAGCGTCAACAAATATCAATGATCTTAAAACACATTCATACATTCTGGTCAGCAATAAACATCCTAACATTTCCAGTCTTGGAATGGATTTTTTCTACAATGGTGCAACGAGTGCTTTAGTTAAAATTGGTATACACATAAAGTCTCCATTTTCGAGAGTCCAACGTAACATTATTATGGCACCATAGGCCATTTCGCCACCGTCGCAAAAACCGTGTATTTCAGGAGTTCCTATGGCGTTGCTTGGTTTCAATTGTCGTTTTAGAGTTACTTGGAGGAGTTCATTCATAAGCTGAACATTGTTGAACCATTTGGTTTGTAAGTCATCTGGAAGGATTTCGTCCCAGTTGTAACCTTGTGCCCACAAATTTTGCATATCGATTCGAAATTTGATTGTTACTGCTGATACAATTCCTATCGGATCCCAAACTTGGGCTAACGATGCAAGGCATTTACGTTTATTAAAGGGTCCAATAACTTCAGTAAGAGAATCCTTTCTGAATGAAAATGTATCAAATTGTTTGTTCCATCGGTGTCCAAGAATGCTTGTTTCCACACCTGATGTGTCTTGATCTACTTGTTCATTATTAGAATACCAACATTTTATTTTAAAGTGTCCTTCACTTAGAATTGAGTCAATGTCACTTATAACATTATTAGCTTCAACTTGTGAGGGTTTAGAGCCAGCTATATCGTCGACATAAGTCCTATTTAACAGTTCTTTTGCTGCTTCTGGGTAAGTTGACAAAGACATATTGGCTAAAATATGAATGGCATTTGATGCAATAGATGGTGCTGGCTTATCACCGAAACTTAGCCGTATCCATTGGTATATAGATGGTTGATGGCTTGGATTAGATCTCCATAGAAATCTATGATACTTCTGATCTTCGGGGTGAACTAAAATCTGGTTAAACATTTTTTGAATGTCTCCACAATAAGCAACATTATCCCATCTCCAAGCTATTAAAACTTCTAGTAAGTTATTTATTAAATAAGGTCCCTTTTCCAGCCTGTCGTTTAAAGACAGTCCATCACATCCTTTAGCACTGGAATCAAACACAAGTCGTACCTCAGTTGTTACCTGGGGTGAAGACTACTTGCATAGGAAGATAAAATTCCGGTTTAGCGTGATCTACATCGCTCGGATTGAGTTTGTTTACAAATCCAAAATCCACTAATTTGTTTATTTCGACATCCACGATATTCAATTTATTTCTTTTGATTAGAGATTTTTCAGTAGATATCATCCGTTTGTACACTAGATCATAATTACTGGTTTGAGGTGGACCAATACTTTTCCAGGGCATTTTGATTTCAATTCTTCAATTTTGTTGATTCGCTCAAAAGTTTGATGAAACGGTTTTCTTTAAGCAAGTCTTCGCTACACACACAGTATTGAGTTGGTTTAATACCCAACTGGTCCTGGTACAATAACTGTTTTATGTCGTTGTCTGTTTTGACTTGCGTAAAGTCTTCAATAATTGCAGATTTCATAAAATGATTTAAATTCAGTTTTACTGTCAATAGTGCCTAACAAGTACCAACCGAAAATGTTTTTCTTCGCAATTGGTTGTCCACTTTCTCCAACTTTCATCGCAAGATCTACAAACGCATCGGAGAATTCAGTGCCTATGAGAATGTCAATTTTACCTCCATCTAGATACAGTTTATCAATTAATGGTTTTAAGGGACTAAATTTTTCTAACGATTTTACAGAAACCTTCTTTGGATCACTGCAAGGCTGGTGCACCACGAACACTTTGAAACTTTTCTCGACTAACGGATCATCGATAGGTGATACTGTAATAGGAAACGTTTCTGAAAGTTCTATTTTCCGTTCTCCTCCAGCAAGGAGCATATTCAAGTTAATTTCCTCGCCGTGTAGTCCGAGCCTCTGTGCAAAATCTTTTCGAATTAAACAAACATCTGATCCAGAATCTTCAAACACCAATGCCTCCCTTTTATCACCATTTACATCGTTGACGTTGATAAGCTGTACAGGGCATTGGGCTGACACAAAGCTGACATTTTTATTCACAGACAAAGACTGATTGTTACTATTTAATCTTGATGAATTTGTACCCGAAAAGGGCTTAGCATCGGAATTCAAATAAGATTTATCACAGGCAATTATACTTTCACATTTATCTGTATGATGACCTTTGAAGCACTTTCGGCATCTCCGTTCTTTTCGAACTGTTTTCCATCGCTCAGGAATTCCTTTTGTTTTAAATTTTGGACAATTTAATAAGTTGTGTTTTTCTGAGCATTCTAATGGACAGTAGTTTTCGGCCTCATTTGTCTTTAAAGTAGCAGTGGAAGAATGTTTATAAGAATTGGGTTTATTGGAATATTTATTAAAATAAGTATTAGTGTTATTACTCTTTGTAAAATAGTTTGTATCTACACGAATAGTAGCCATGAAATCAAGCCAGTCAGCCAGAGTTTCTGATGTCTCTTCTTGGCCTTTTAGATTCACATGACACCTAAAACTTTCAAGTGTTTCTCTATCCTTCTTTCGCCGAAGTTTATCCAAAATTACCTCACACGTTGTTTCCTGTGCTTTATCAATGTCTTCAAATTGTTGTATCAATTCACGAATAATGGAAGAAAACTCTGATAATGATTCTGAATTGTTCGATTTGAGACGGAACTTATCCAGGTTATTGTAAATTTCAGCTATTAATTTTTGATTATTTACGAATTCTCTGTCTAAGAGAGCCCATGCTCTACTGATGTCTGAACATGTTTCTATTTTTCGCCTCCATCTATTTCCTGGATCTTTTATGGCACTACGTAATCTTAATAAGTGTTTAGAGTCGTCTTGGTTATTTTGTATCATTGCCTCTGAAAAATGCTTCTTAAACGTGGCATAAGTCATTCTTCTACCATCCCATGTTGGACAGGGTAACCTTTCTAATTCAGACCTTGGTGGATGTTTTGGGGTTAAAGCTTTGACGGCTTCTGTAGCTGCAGCAGCAGCTGTTGCTCCAGCAGTCCTCTTGATTTCCTGCATTTTAATTACCACGTTTTGGTCATCTGGAATGTGGGCTCCTTGAAAGGACTTTAGGGCATGATTATATCTCTCAGACATTTGTGTTACAGTAGCACGGAATTTATCACGATTTGTTTTAAGCTTATGTAATTCGGCTTCATTTTCTTCAGAGTCAGTTCGGCTTATTACCACCTGAGAGTATTTATTATAAAGATTTTTAAAGACCTTATTTTCTTCTTGAATATCTTCATAAACTTGAGTAAGATCGGCAATCAAAGAGTCTCTTTGCAACAGAGCATCAAAATCTTCAAATAGGTCTTGTAACCGTACTGATGAAGCATGATA